TTTCAACAGTTGATTTCAAATGGATTTCAAAGTTGGTGACTTTGAAATCCAACAAAAAATTTTTGTTACGTTCATAAACATAAATGTTCTCAAAACGCCTAAAAAAACCTGGCCAGTTCTTCGCAACTAAATATAATTTCGGTGGTCAGTATCCAAGAGCAATCGCTCTCGCTTCCTGACCAAGCCAGTGGTGTAAGCTTTGATATGTTGATTATTATAAAATAAAATGTTAATTACACTCTGACTTTTTGACCGTAATATATGAAAAAGTCTTTAAAATTGTAAAAGTTAAAGCTATGAATAAAGATTTTCAATCATAAGACATAAAGAATTTTATATAAAAACTTACCATTTAATAAATTTTGTTCATTTAACTTCTCAGAGCAAACATTGAACTTCTGTAAAGAGTTTGTAGTTACAGTTAAATCCCAAAGTTTAATAATATTTTTAGTTTTATTATAAGAAATTGAGGATAAATGATCTACACCAAGATATACACAATTTTTTGTCTCTTTAATCTTTATTTTGGCTGGTTATTTTCACTATCTACCTTTTTTGTCTCCAGAGCAGAAGTTTAGCCTTCTGCTAAATTCAATCTTGTATTGCTATAAAAATCTATAAATCAAATCATTAATAATTAAGTTATAACGAAAGTTAATGTATAAGCTTAAAGTTGTTAACTGCTGTATGCAAACTAATTATGAAAAATATCCAGAGATATTAAATTAAAAATTATAAAACCAAAAATAATGTCCCTCTGCCTCAGAAAGATGGAATATATAAAGGGCTGTTTCAATTTAAATCATGATTTAAATCAGACAAATAAAAATAATGATTTAAATTGAGTCTTTTTATTTCAATTGATTTTAATGATTATTTATTGATTTAATCTCATAATTCAATAAATTATTATAGACTAGTCATTGGTCTTAAAACAAAATGTCTGGCAATATTAGAAAGCTCTACATAAGTAGAATATAAATTCTAATAACATCACTTTTTGTACACTGTTTTAATATTTTAGTAGACGGGGTTTCACAATCAAACAAAAAAGACATACTTAAAATGTAAAATATCAGCTTCTAACAACTTCAATGCCACATATATATTACTGATACCTTTAATAATATATCTTATAATAGCTTTATAATCTAAACTATTATAAATAAATTATGAAAAAAAATTTTTTTTCAATACTTATACTGTATGACATTTTAAATATTTGATATATTTAATAAAGAAGAATTTAAAATGTCTTCTTTATTAAATAAATCGAACATTTGAAATGTTACATTTATTTAATAAAGATTATTAAATAAATCAAACATTTGAAATGCTAATACAGCAATAAGTATAAAAAAATAACTTTAAGATCTTACACAAAAATAATTTAATTATTACCCTTATTATTACATTAATAACTTACATTGTAGTAAAAAATGTTTCAAGCATTTATTTAACTGTTAAAAAATATTTCATTATTAAAAAAAAAAAAAACATTAAGTCACGAGAATCTCTTGAAATTTATTTCATATAACGAACCTTTTAAGATTCTTAGAAGATTCATAAATATAGCTCCTTTTTTTTATATATATAATTTAAAGAAATGGAAAGATAATATTAAAACCTTTTTTTAGTCTGTCAAACAATACCATTTTTAAAAAGGTTTTAAAAATATTTACTAATCCGGCCGAATATTGGCTACGGCTTAAATGTAAGAACACGGTGCGGATTCACCAAACTTTCGTAACTCTTGCGTAGCTCAACTAAGGTTACGGAAATCGTAAGTTCAGCGTAGTTTTGGTATTCACTAAGGCCACGCGGTTAAGGTTTTTTTCGGTTCGGTTTTTTTTGATTCGGTTTTAAAAATTAAACTAACAATTCGGTTTTTTTCGGTTCGGTTTAAATTTATTTTTGATCGGTTCGGTTCGGTTTCGGTTAAAAAAAAACAAAGTTTTAGAGGTCATTTATTAAATAAATTTAGACTTACAGATTTTTACCAAAAAAAACTAAAAATTAATTTTTATTTTCTTAATATTTTCTTTTATATAAACCATTTTTTCAACATTCTCAACTGCCAACGTAGTTCTTCTGGCAGTGACAACGTTACCAGCACTAGAAAAAACCCTCTCTGAAGTTGCAGAAGTTGCTGGTATACAAAGATATTTTCGTGCATAGTTTGATAAAATTGGGTACTGCAACTTCATAGTTTTCCACCACTCTAAAATATCTGTCGTTTCTTCAGCTGTTTCGGCTGCTAAATAATGATCAATTTCTAAACCCAATTTAGTCATCGTTGAAGCACTGCGTGCTAAAATATCTTGTTTCAGTCTTTTTCTAAGCAGTTCATGGTGATTAACTTTAACATTTTCATTACTTTCATTGTCTGTTTTGCTGCAACTCATTGAAGCTTTTTCATGTTTTTTCTCTTTTTCCTGAGTCAATATTGCTTCTTTTATTTCATCACATTTTTTATATTCAATCAAATGCAGGCCTTTGTAACGTGGATCTAAAAAATTTGCAAAACAATTAATCAACTGCTCAGCACCGTTAAGAGGATATCGTTCCTGAAGTTCACAAATTAGCATTTTATTAAATGTTCTTGTTGGCTTATGTTTGTGATGTTGATGGGAAAGAAGCTCTTGGTGCAAGGAATATAATTCAGGTATCACATCTTGGATTGTTGGTCTTTTATCAGCTGATAAAGTTACTGAAATGTTGTATATTTTTTCAAGAAATGGAATGCTGTATTCTAATGTCTTCCATTGATCATCTGAGGGACATGACCTTTCAAACTCATCATTGGTTTTTGCAAGTGTTTTGATTGCATCTTTGACTTCAAGGACTGACTTAATGCACATGTAATCAGAATTCCATCGAGTTGTACATGGAACAATCAATTTCCTGGGCTTAATTCCAAGTTCTTCACAAGCATCTTGAAGCTTGGTCGTAGAGAGAGCCCTTCTATGTGTGTGTGATGCTAAATCTGTACAGTTTTTTATTGCTTTAGAAAGCTCAATTGAATTTTTGATTGCTTTTAAAATAACTAGCTGGATTGTGTGATCATTGCAGCGCAATTCAGAATTAATTTCATCACTTTCTTTAGCAGCTAAAACAATGTTGCTCCCATTGTCATTAACGCAGGCTCGATGGACTTCTTCATTTAAGTTTAAATTAGCAATAAAAGCGTCCAGGTTTACTGCAATTGCAACCCCATTGTGTCTACCAGTAAATGGTGTGCAAGCAATGAGAAAACTTACTAAACTAAAGTCTGAACTAATGTAGTGAATTGTAAGACTCATGTAAGAATCATTGTTCCGACTTGTCCAGAGATCTGTTGTAAAACTAACTCCAGTTACTTCTGGAAAGTCTTTGAGAAATTTTATTTGCAAACCCTCCTTTACCTTTTCATACAACATAGGAAGCTTTTGACGTCTAAATGTTGATGCAGATTTGACAGTAAACTTGCTATTTACTTCATCAATAAACTCTTGTGCTCCTTCATTGTCTAAAATTTCAAAAGGTAGACCAAGTTTGCAAATAAATTTTGTTAAATCTAGGTCAAACTTTAATTGCTTTGGATCATTTAACCCATATTTTTGGTTTTTTATAATGCAACTTTCAATTGTAGTTGTTTTTGTCTCCTTTTCTTTAAATTTTTGTTTATTAAGTATCTCTGTAGTTTTCAAAAGATGTTCTTTCCAAGATGCTTCATGTTTAGTTTTGACGTGGCTGGTTATTGTTGAAGTACTGCCACAGTTGATTTTGTAAGATTTAAAGCAAACTTTACATTTGGCTTCAAATTTACTTGACTTTTCAAAAAATTTCCAAATATCACTTTCTTTCGGCATCTTTAATGCAAATAAAATAAAAATGATTAGTAAGACAACCAAACCGTATAATAAACATAAACATAGTTCAATATAAATAAGTTTAACTAATAATTTTTCAAAATCCTTAAAATGTATTTTAATTATTTTTTAGAACATTATTAGTTACAATGCAAATATTAAACTATTTTACGCCTTGCATGCTCCTAAAGGCATTAATAATATTTAAACAACAAATTATTTTGATTATATCAGTTTTATTATTTATACAATGAAAACAGTTTAGAAAACGAGGTTTCCAAAATAATAATATTATAAGATAAATATTATAAACAATATTAGAAATTTAAATAAGATTAAAAAAATACATCTTTTTAGAAAAAGCTTATACTACACTATATTGATATCCAACCCTTAAAAAATCTTACTCCATCATGGTCCGCAACATCTGTTCTAATTTCACGGCAAGCTATTTTATTATGTTTATTTTTCATTGTTCCCTTTTTAACTTTGCTTTTCTGCGGTTTGAAATTTCTTAAATTAAATAACAATTATATTTTATTTAAAAACTTGATGTCAAATAATGTTTTTGAAATTTTAAAATTTTAAATCGGTTTTTAAAAGTTTTTTCAGTTACGGTTCGGTTTTTATTTTGATTTAAATAATTAGATCGGTTCGGTTCGATTCGGTTTTTTTGTTTCGGTTTTCACCGAAAGAACGGTTCGGTTCGGTTAACTGCACGGCCTTAGTATTCACCAATGTTTCGCAGCATTTCCGTAAAGTTAGGGTTGCGCACGAGTTGCGCCAAACTTACGCAAAAACTTACGCAAAAATCAACCACGTTAATTTTTGTTTAAATAAACCAAGTTTTCGTAATTTTATAAAACAAACTTTTCTAATTTTGAATTCATATAATTTCTAACTAATTTAAATTAGGGGTTATTACTAATTAACATTTTTCACACCCTAATAAAATGACAATAATATTTTTTATAAACTTTGCTGTAAAAACTAAATACTTTTTATTAAATATTTATTTAAAAAAAAAATTATAAATATTAGGAAAATAGTTTTAAGTTGAAAAGAGGTAGAGAGGGTTCAGAATTGATTATTCTACAAAGAGGTTGTTAAGGGCAGATAAATTTTTAAATTGTTTAATATGCAATTAATAAGTAAAAAAAAACTTTCATTTTTTTCATTCATAAATATCACGTAAATCATATATATCCCCTTATCCCCTTCAATTTAATAACATAGTTTTAACTAGTGTTCTTTGTACAATGCCAAGTCAAATTGGTTGACTTGTGTAAATTCAACCTGAACATAGTGTACATCATCTTCGTTGTTGTCCTCAAATTTTATGTCATCTGGAATTTCTAATCCTAAAGAATTGTAAAAGTTTTCCAGCAACTTACACTTAAAATATATTTTGCAATATATAGTTTGGGTAAGCATATGTTTAGGAGCACTGAAGTGCTTCACGTCTCTTGTGACATCCAATGGTTTTTGAGATGATCAAAGGATTGCCCCACATCACTATCTATCTGTAGGTGAACTTTATTGAAATAGATTTTTTCTGGTGTAGTTGGCTGATTAAATGGTGCAATCATGACTGTTAATAAGCAAAAAGGAAATCTGCATTAGGATTATATTCTAATGTCTTTTTTAATTCAAAAATAGAAAAAAATAAAAATTATTCTTTTTTTGAATTGACTAGTAGTTTTTACCAATTACTATTTGAAACTCCCAGTTAACTTAAAAACTCTCAGTTACATTTTTGCTTCTGAAGAAATTGGGTTGCTCCTCAATATGCTTGGTGACAAATCATTGTTAATGTGTTGGCTTTATATACTTCTATATATTTTTATACAAATGAGATTTTTTAACACATTCTACATCAAAGTAATCGTTTAAAACAGTATATTGAGCTTAACACTAGATTTGATCTTGACCAAATTAATCAAATTTCTATTTAAACTAAAACAAAATAAAGCTATTAAAACAACTAAATGAATTATGATAGTTAAACTTAATGAGACACGTACCATATAACAAAAAACTGTGAAATAGAATATTTATAAAGATATACTTGCTTTTTTGTAAATATATAGTGTTTTATTAATATTTATAAAGATATAGTTACTTTTTTTATGAATATAATAATTCAATAATTGTATATATTACCAAAATCATAACTGCATTATAACAATACAGCATCTTTTAAAATATAATCCAAATAATATACAATATACTATAATATATTAATTTAAATAACAATGTTACTATTATTTTGCATAAGATGTTATGCTATATTAACAATATAATAATATTTTAACATAAATAAATTAAATACATTAGGTTTAACTTAATTAATAATATAACACCTTAATGGTTGTCATAAAGATGTTATATCAATATTTATTTATAATATATCATCATGAAGCATGTAATTTAAATATATTCGGACCCTATTATACGCTATATTACAACTATAAGATAATAAATTGATCATATTATACAAAAATATAACAATAATACTATGATATTATAATACACAATGTTTTGGTTTGTTAAACAGTTATATAACTGACAAAAGCGTGATGACCTACAAATCTATATATACGTGTGTTTATATATATAAATAAATAAATATATATATATATATATATATATATATATATATATATATATATATATATATATAAACACACATACACAATCAAACATACATAGATATTTATACAAACATATACATACATACACACACATAGACACACACCAAACACACATACACACAGTATGTGAATGTATGTATGTCCAGTGCGCGCATACACACATATATGTATATGTGTATATGCACACACCTATTTATGCATATGTGTGTATGATACACATACATACATACAAACATACATACACACACAAACACATACACACATATACGCAAAACACATACATTCATACATATACATACACACATGTATACATATACAAGCATACACACAATACATATACACGATCACACACATATATATATGTAAATAAACATACATGAATAAGTAAACACTTTATACGTAACAAATATCAAGATGTTATTAAGTTATAAAAATATTATGATGCATTTGTATTTCAATTATAAATGGCATTTATATTTGAAATATAATTGCATCATAATAATTTATAGATAAAATTAATAGATAATAATAATAGTAATAATCATAGATATTAACACAAATATTATTTGTGTTAATAATATTAACACAAATAATATTTGTGTCAATATCTATGATTATTATTATTATCTATTAATTTTATCATAGATATTAATAATATTTATGATTATTGTTAACTTTATTATAGTATATACAATTTATATACATGAATTGTATATATTATAATAAAATTCTATATCAATCTGACAATATATGAATCATAATAATATTACACTATTTCTAATATTTAGTTATTTTAACTTTACGCCAAAGTTAAGGCAGCTAATAGCTAACGTAACTTTTCTTGCTTAAATTGAGCTGAGCAAGTTTATAAAAAGTTTGGTGAATACCGCAGAAGTTACGAAAAAACTTACGTAAGTTTTGTTTCACGCAACTACGCAAGTTTCGTGAATACGGATTTCACTTTTTTGAACTTACGCCAAACTTACGCCAAACTTACGCAAAAAAAAAGTTTGCTGAATACGCTCCCAGATTTTTATAGCAAACCATTAAGCCTAAACTACATTGGCCAAATGTTGGCCCAACGTAGTACGATAATTACAAAAAACCGATTTGTAGAACTACAATATTACGCCGAAGAAAAAACATTGGCTAAATGTTGGCCCAATATAGTATGATATTTGCAAAAAACCGATTTGCGGAATTGAAAATAAAACGTCGAAAAAAAACATTGGCTAAATGTTGGCCCAACGGAATAAACTTGCCAATGTTAAAACTTACGTTGGGCCAATGTAAGCTTGCTGTCTGGGTAGCATATTATTTACGTTTAACTCCTTCCATGGTTTGGCCATCTTCCAGGAAAAACGAGAACAATGATTAATTTATTTATAAATGTCTTAATAGAATTACCTATTTCTTAGTTTTTATAAAGACCAAAAGTTGGATAGGAAAGGATATATGGGAACAAATGTTGACAAAGACTACAGTAGGAGAGTACTGGATGCAAACAGGAGAAAGAACAAGCTAGATAAGTTGAGAGAGAAAGAATTAGAGAGACAGAAAAACGTAAAAGATATCAATGATGTTTTGTTGTCACATGACTCCATGACAGAAGAGATTCAATTCAGCAGTGTAGAAGAAAAGCCAAACGAGGACTCTGAAATCAGCAAGGAAGAAGATTTTTTGGGTAACGGTCGGAAATGCAGGTATAGTATTATTTTAATAACATAGTTGTAATTTTCACAAGCTAAAACTGTTTTATTAAAAAGTATATAATTATAAATAGGTAGAAAAAAACAAATAATAAAATGATATCTAAGAACAATTCTGGAGAGAGGTTAAATCTAGCAGTGAATGTTGAAAAGCTCATTGAATTTACTGCTATTCCTGCAACAAGGTTCAATGTTGGTGTACGACCTCATCTAGCAATTTTAAGTGAAGTATTTAAAGCTGGAGGTATAGAAATTAATGATATACCGCTTTCACGAAGCACACTTCATAGAAAAAAGTTCAAATATGTAGAACTTGAACGAGACTTTGAGTGGATTTGCGGACGATACTAATTTATTTCTGTCAAACAGTGACATTTATGAGCTTTTTTCAAATATGAATTAAGAACTCAATCAGATCTCCAACTGGTTTAAGTGCAACAAGTTAACTTTAAACATTGACAAAGCAAAATGGATCCTTTTCCACTCTCTTGCAAAAAAGCGTTTTTACCAAATAAATTACCTAAACTTTTTATTGATAAAATTGAAATAAAAAAGGAGTCGGTCACAAGATTTTTAGGCATTTACATTGATGAAAATATTACATGGAAGTATCATATCGACTTTATTTCTACTAAATTGGCTAAAAGTATTGGAATTCTATATAAGATCAGATACTATCTAAGTAAACAAAATTTAATTCAACTCTACTACTCATTTATTCATAGCAATATAAATTATGCAAATATTGTATAGGGTAGTACCTCTAAAAGTAAGTTGCGAAATCTCTACCATCGTCAGAAACACGCAACGCGTTTAATATGTTTTGAAAATCATTTTTCTCATTCAAATATTTTATTTAAAAATGTTAAAGCACTTAACGTTTACGAACTCAATGTCTATAATATTTTATGTTTTATGTTTTGTTGTAAAAGTGAACAACCATTGTCCAATTTCAAATATCTTTTTACTTATAAAGCTATAAACAAATATGCTTTACGAAATAATAATTTATTAATTGAACCCTTTTGTCAAACAAAGTTTAATCAGTTTTGCATAAACTATCGAGCACCGTATTTATGGAACAAAATTGTTGTTCCAAATTTTGATTTGTCAATTTCGTTTTCCGTTTTTAAAACTAAATTTTTTTTTTTTTTTTTTTTTTTTTTTTTTTTTTTTTTTTTTTTTTTTTTTGTCTTTTATCAAAGCTTTACAAATACGTGATCATAAATATAAACTAGTTCGTTTACATTGTATAAAAAAAATACCGTACATATAATAAGAAAACTTTTTTTAATACAAATAATAATATATATAAAAAAGTAACACTGTTAAAAGACGCGGGAAACTTGCAGAAGACCATTTTGGTCTTGTCATCAAGAAACCGCTTTTAGTTGCGATATTTTGTATACTTAATTTATTAAGAAATTTCAGTTTGTCAAAGTCTTATGGTGGCATAAGAGTCACACATAAAAAGCTACTAGATAATCAAAAACAAAAAACGGAAAAGAGCTGTATTTGATACACATAAATATATAGTTACATGGTTTGTTATACTTAGTATATTGACATGTACGAAATATAAATAAAATCTAACATTTACTTTGCTTTAAAGTGGATTTTTTAGGGGTTTTTAGTTATTTGTTTTAATATACGTTTGTAAAATTGTTTAAGTTTAGAACAAGTTTTTTTAAAAGTGTTTTCAGAGAATTATGGTTAAGTAGTTTTGTAATTATAGTATTTTTAGCTATTAGTTTGTTGTAGAGGTAAGGGCCGCGATAGGAGATGGAGAAACGTGATAGTTTTGTTTTTTTATATGGTACTTTAAAATTTCCTATTCCTCGAGTTTCATATTTATTTCTATTGCATTTAAAAAATTCTTCTGAAAAATGTAATGGGACAAGTCCGAGTTTATATTTGAGCATGAATATCAAATTTTGGTAAATGTTAATTTTGTAGACATTTAGTGCATTTAGAAGCTTTAGCAAAGGTTCGGCATGAGTAAATTTATCTTTATTAAATACTATTCTTGCAGCATGTTTTTGATGTCGATAAAGTGCCACTAGGTTGGATCTATGGGTACTTGCCCATGCTATATTACCATACGTATAATAGGTTTGAATGAAGGAGAAATAAAGTAGCTTTAAATTTTTTTGGGGTAGCATGGGTCTAGCTTTGTAAAGCATGCAAATGTTGTTTCTTATTTTGGTATTTAATAAGTTTATGTGAGCTTTCCATGAAATATTCTCATCGATAAGTATTCCTAAAAATTTTGTTGCTTTGGTTCTTTCGATAAATTTATTTTCTATTTTTAGAGACGGTAATGGAATTGGTATAGATTTTTTCCTTTGATTGGTGTGAAATAGAATGTAGTTGGTTTTTTCTGTATTCAATGATAATTTGTTTGATTTAAACCAAGTATTAAGTTTTTCAAGTTCAATACCTGCAGTTTCGAAGAGTTCTGCGATAGAAGTAGATGAATAAAATAAGTTTGTATCATCTGCAAACATTATGGCATCAAGTTTTTTTGAGACTTTTGGAAGATCATTGATGTATAGCAAGAAGAGTAGGGGAGCTAGAATGGAACCTTGGGGAACTCCGCATTTTATTTTAAGTAATTTTGAATGGGTATTTTTATCCATAATAACACATTGCTGTCTGTTTATAAGAAAGCTCTCAAACCAATGTAAAGCAACATTTTTAATGCCATATTTTTCCATTTTTTTAAGTAGTATAGCATGATCAACAGTATCGAATGCTTTCGATAGATCAATAAAGATTCCTAGAACAAATTTGTTATTATCAAAAGAGTCATTTATTTTATTTACAAGATCTATAATCGCATGTTCGGTTGAATGTTGTTTTTGAAAT